AACAAGGAGTTGGCAGAATACCAAGGGAGATGTTTCAACAAACTGATGCAACACTGGAAACACTTACTACTCTATACTGGAAATTTGGAAAGCTGCTATCTGGCCAATGGACCAGAAGAGAGTCATATGTGTGTCCATTCCAAGGAAAGGTGATCCACTGGGATGTGGGAATCATCAAACAATAGCATTAATATCACATGCAAATAAAGAGACTTTAAAACTGATTGTAGCAGTACAGCCCCAGGGTGCTGCTAGGAATCCGGCTGGGTTTAGAAGAGGTGTGGAATGAGGACTAGCACTGCCCACATCAGATGGACCTTGGCTGAAGGCAGAGAATATCAGAAACATGTTTGCTTGTGTTTTACTGACTATGCAAAGACATTCCACTGTGTGGATCATAACAAACAATGGATACCATTGTGGAGAATGGAAATTCCAAAACACTTAATTGTGTTCATGTGGAGCCTGTACATAGACCAAGAGGCAGTCATTCGACCAAGGGATAGTGTGTGGTTTAAAATCAGGAAAGATGTGCCTCAGGGTTGTAGCCTTTCACCATATTTATGTAATCTGTGTGCTGAGCAAATAATCTTAGAGGCTAGATTACATGAAGAAGAACGGAGCCTCAGGATTGGAGGGAGGCTCATATTAACGACCTGTGATATGCAGATGATACAACCTCGTTTGCTGGATGTGGAGAGGACTTGAAGCATTTACTGGTGAAGATCAAATAATATATCTTCCAGTATGGATTACAACTCATAGTAAAGAAAAGAAAAATCCTCACAACTAGACAATAAACTACATCATGATGAAGGAAGGAAAGATTGAAGTTGTCAGGGATTTCCTTTTACTTGGATCCTCAATCAATGCCTATGCAAGCAGCAGTCAAGAAATCAAACAGTATAGTGCATTGGACAAACCTGTTGCAAAAGACCTCTTTAAACTACTAAAGAGCAAAGATGTCACTTTGAGGACTAAGGTGCATCTGACCCACACTATAATATTTGCAATCATGTCATGTACATGTGAAAGTTGAAGAATGAATAAGGAAGGCCATAGGAAAATAGATGCATTTGAATTATGGTGTTGGTAAAGAAAACTGAATGTACCACACAGTTTCCGAAGTACAAACCTATCTGTCTTTGAATAAGTACAGCCAGAACGTTCCTTAGAAGTGAGGATGGTACCAGTTCCTGGAGAAGAACATCGTATTTGATAAGGTAGAGGATCAGAGGAAAAGAGAAAAATGATTTTGTTGATTACAAAAAGTAAAAGAAAAAGAGGAAGACCCTTAACAAGACAGATGGATACGGGGGCTGCAGTATAGGAGTGGGCCCAGCAGAGAGTGATTGTGAGGATCGTGCTGTGTGTAGGGTCATTAGGAGTCAGATTTGACGCAAGGGCATCTGACAACAAAAACTACAACAGCATTAGCTGATTTTGGAAGTTCAACCAAACTTGCATTCCTGGGATAAATCCCATTTGGTCCAAGTATCAAATTCTTTTTATATATTGCTGGATTTAGTTTGCTAGTATTTTGTTTAGGGTTGTTTTGTTAATCTGTATTCCTAAGGTATATTGATCTGTGGCGCGCTGTAGGATCAGCACTGGACTGTGAACCACAAGGTCAGCAGTTCAAGCCCAGCAGCTGTTCCTTGGAAACCCTATACAGGCTCGCTATGAGTCTGAATAGACTGGATGGCGCTAAACAATTACAACAACGGTGATCTGTAGCTTTTCTTTCTTGTGGTGTCTTTGTATGGTGTTGGCATCGGGCTCATAGTATGAGTTCTGTGTTCTGGAAGAGTTTGTGAAAGTTTGGAGAACAAAGCCACGTCACTTGTAACCCCAGGCAGTAGAAACAGTCAACAAAGACCTAGAGGCAAAATCGTGATGGAGTTGGGGGCTGGCATAAAACACATAGGAGGTGAGAGCAGAAGGAGAGCCCATGAAGAAAGGCCATGGTGCCAGGCACAGAAGACTCCAATGTTGTCATCGGTATGTGTACTGGAAAATGAGCTTGGTGGAGGTTGATGAAGGGAAAGAGACTAGAGTCAGGGAGAGGTCTGAGGAGAGGAAGTCATGGGTGATTGCTCCTAGGTGACAGAATGGTGGTTGGTGAAGAGGTGCTCTTGAGAGCTGGGTATGGCTCCACGGAAGGGGAAGGGAGGGGAGGGGAGGGGACTGCCAGCAGAGATGGGACAGAACCTCAGTGTGGGGACGCTGAACTGAGAAGGGGTGGAGACAACCAGTCAGAGCTGACACCGAGGCCTGAGGACTCATGTGGGTCTCTTGCTGCCCTCTGCTGTAGGTGAGGTCCCATTTATTTCAGTCTGTATGCTGAGTAAATTTGAGAAACTAGGTTATATGAAGAACATGGCATCAGGATTACGGGAGAATTCAGTAACAGCCTGCGATATGCAGATGATACAGCCTTGCTTGCTCAAAGTGAAGAGGGCTTAAAATACTTACTGATGAAGATCGAAGAGCACAACCTTCAGTATGGGTTGCAGCTCAATGTAAAGAAAACAAATATCCTCACCACTGGACCAGTAAATAACATCATGATAAGTGGAGAAAAGCTTGAAGTTGCTCAAAGACTTCATTTTGCTTGGATCCACCATCAACACTCATGGAAGCTGCAGTCAAGAAATCAAACAACGTATCGCATTGGACAAATCTGCTACACAAGACCGCTTGTAAGTGTTCAAGAGCAAAGATGTCAGTTTGAGGACTAAGGTGCGTCTGAGCCAAGCCATGTGAGATTTGGACAACGAAGAAAGAAGACTAGAAGAATTGATATATTTGAGTTATGGTGTTGGAGAATATTGAAAGTAACACAGACAGTCAGAAGAGCAACCGAATTTGTGTTGGAAGAAAGAAGTAAAGCCAGAGTGCTCCTTGGAAGCCAGGATGGTAAGACTTCATCTCTAATACTTCGGACATATTGTCGGAAAGGACCAGTCCCTGGAAAAGGACATCATGCTTGGTAAAGTGAAGGGATGACCCCCAACAAGATGGATTGGTACAGTGGCATCAGCAATTGTAACAATTATGAGGCTGGCACAGGACTGGGCAGTGTTTCATTCTGTTGTGTATAGAGGTTGCTATGAGTTGGAAGTGATTCAACAGCATTAACAACCACAGCAACAACAACATTTATTTATTTTGTCTTTTGCTGTTTGTGTGCTTTTGTTATAAGTAATTCATTGTTGAAAGCTTGCCTTGTCAGTATTGCTTCTGCTTGTTCTTCTAAGAGTTTTATGGGTTAGTTTGTACCTTTCGATCCTTAATCCGTTTTGAATGCGTTTTTATGTGTAGTGTGAGGCATGTATACTGTTTTCATTTTTCCTGCATGTGGAGAGCCAGTTGCCCCAGCACCATTAAAGTGACTCTTCTTTCTCAATCAAATGGACTTAGTATCCTTGTAAAAAAAACCAGCGTACCAAGGATGTGTGAGTTGTTTTCTGGATTCCACATTCTCTTCCACTGTTCTATAGTCCACGTGTCTTTTGTTATACCAGTTCCAGGTTGCTTTGATAACTGTAACTATATAGTATGTTTCAAAACCAGTAGTGAGAGTCCTCCTACTTTGTTCTCTTTCAACACTGTTTCAGCCTCTTTCGTTTCATATAAAGTTGAGGATTGTTTTTGTATTTCTGTAAAGAAGGTTGTTAGAATTTTGATAGGATTGTGTTGAGTCTATAGACCTCTTTGGATAGTACTGACATCTTAACAGTATTAAGTCTTTCAGTCCTTAAACATGGAACATCTTTCCATTTATTTACATCTCTTTTAATTTCATTCAGTAGTGTTGTATCTTAACCAAATTAATTTCAGAAACATACAAGAAATTCTGTATCGATATTTTGTTATTGTATAGTTATCAAATGAGCTTCAGTAACACACAGGAAATTCTGTATGTATATGTTGATATTGTTATTCATTGTTCTTATGTATCTTTGTATTCCATGTGTCTTGCAATGTAATTTTATTCTTGCTTTCTGTATAGTTGAAGGTACTCTGGTGGCACTGTGGGTTAGGTATTGGGCTGCTAAGTGCAAGGTTGACAGTTCAAATCCAATAGCCAATCCATGGGAGAAAGATGAGGTTGTCTGTCCTTGTAAACAATCATCAACATTAATACCTTATTGTAAGCCTTAGACTTGTTCATGCATTTCCCTTTATTCCGGATCTGTCCTTTTTATGTACAATTTTGCATTTCTTTCCAGTGTCATTTCCCTTCCATCTACACAACCCTGTTCGTATTTTGTGTCCCATATGCAGGTGGGCTCAGGGAAGGAGGTCAGTCAGCAAGACCTTCACCAGACTGGTCAGACTGCAGGGAGGGGGTGGGGAGCTTGTCTGCTGGGAGAGGGGTCACTATATGTCCAAGCAAGAAGGAATTCCAAGGCCCAGATCCTTGACTCTTTGGGGGTCTCCTGGAGAGCACCCAATGGGGCCAGGTAGGCAAAGTAGCTAGTGGCGGATCTGCCCTGGTGTTGACTTCAAGCTAACCTGGTGAAGTTTTGGGGCCAGCCAGACCATTTCAACCCACCACAGCCATTCAAGGCACGTGTGGCTACCACGCCCATTTCTCAGAGGTGCAAACAAGTTCTGGAAGGAGGGCTGCTTTGCCAAGAGTACTCCCCAGCAAGGAGTGGGCTGGATGGAGTCCGGGCTGTCCAGCTGCCTGACCAACAGAATCATCTTTGAGTCTTCCAGCCCCTCTGGCTGGTGTTAACGTGTGTGTGTGTGTGTGTGTGTGTGTGTGTGTGTGTGTGTGTGTAGTGTGTGTAGCTGGGACACTCCCTGACTCTGGGCGCTCCTTTCTCGGTCAGCGTTGCAAAGGGGAGAAACTGAGGTCCCTGGGGCCGCCTGCGCGATGACGTGAGGAGGCGGGCCTGGGCTTACCTGACCGCTGGTCCGCCCGCTAGAGGGGCGGAGTCGAGGGGCGCCGTGAGGACTGGGTGGGTGGCAGCATGGCAGGAACGGGACCTCGGCCGCGGAGCTGGGCATTAGGGGCGGCGGGCAGCGCCCGGGACGAGACCGCTGCTCGAAGACCAGGTGCGGGGCCATGTGGCTGCTCGCAGGGGCGGAAGGCACGGGCCACCTCCTGGAAGCCGGCCACCGCCCTGCCTGCCGCGTGGACACCGTGAGTACCCGTTTCTGACCCGAGACCGGACCCTGGACGCCGAGCCCGGACCCGGAACCCTGACAGCGGCTCTGCTCTGCTCCCACCCGCTTTCTCCGGGAACAAAGGAGGGCGCGGCCCTGCGGGCACTCGAGGGTCTCCCGGGGTGGACCGGCCGCCATCACCTCCCTCCCGTGCGCCGATCCTCTGGGCTCCCTATCCCCAGCTTGGAGGTGTGGCCGCTCCTTTGTTTCCGAACCTCTGCGGGGACGTGTGGTCCAAGCCCATAGGGTTTGACTTGGGGGCTCTGGCTGGTATCTCAGGTTGAGCTGGTCTTGGGACCTTCTACACATTTGTCAGCAGATACTGTCTTGTGCAGAGCAAGGGGACTTGTTTTGTGTGGGGGTTTGTGGGGCTTTAAAAATTTTTTTGGTGGAGAAGTGATCACCCTAAGAATCTTAGTTCAAAGTGGACTCTGGGGCTAAGCCTCCGCCGAGCCCAACAGGACAATGGCCATATGCCTGTTCCCATCCAATTCCACGGGGGGGGGGCCCAGAAGGAGCACAGGATGGGGTGGGGCAGGGGCAGCACAGGCAATAGGAAGTCGGGCTGAGGGGGAACCCAAATGTGACAGGACACTTGGAATGCCTCTCAGAACAGGATCTTGAAGGATGGGTCTTGAAGGATGAGTAGGAGTTTGCCAGGTGGGAGAAGGTAGAGTTCATTCTGGGCAGAGACCAAGGCCGGAAGTATGAGGCAGCCTGTCTGGTTTCTGGGAGAGTGGCTGCCAGCTATGGGCTGGAAGTTGAGTAAGAGTTGGAGAAGAAGTGGGCTCTGATGCCAAGAGCTGGGATGTTAGGATCTGAAGGTCTGGGTGCTCAGTCCTAGGTTCTGGAGCAAAGGTGAGTGGGCCTATGTGGTCCCCTCCAGGTTCAGGTGGAGATGATAAGTAATGCTGAACGTGTGTGTGTGTGTGTGTGTGTGTGTGTGTGTGTGTGTGTG